CAGCAGAACCCGGGGATGCCAGAACTTTTGAGAGAGATGTGTGGATGGCTGAAGCATCCCAGGCGGTTCTGAAACATGACATTCCCTTCTCTGCAGATCACTGCCATGAAAGTTAAGAGTCTGCAGGGTCATGAGAATGGCTAGCTCTGGGCTTGCTTGTGCCAGTGATAAGAGGCTGCATGAGTTCAGAAAGAAAACTGAGGTAGAAACATAAACTGTTAGAGCACACGCACCCCGAGGTCGGGAAGCTGACTGTGTCTGGGGCCACTTTGCTAGTCTGGACATAATATCCACTCCTGGGAAATTTAGAGAAGGTTCAGGCAAGAAGGAGTTCAAGGGTTGAAAAAATATAATCTGCAACATAGCCTCTTGCAAACAGCTCTCTTTATTTCTTTGATAAACAAAGCTTGAAAGTGCTAAACAACAGTCAGATAAACAGCCCAAATAAGTAAAAAGAAATCAAAATGGAATAATTGTTGTTTTGCTGTATTTTATAAAGTCATCATGGTCTGAGTATAGATGTAGCTTACACATACGCACTCAGTTTTACTTTGCAGGTTGATTATTATAGCCCATGTATATTAAAGTCAGTTGATTTGTCCTCATTTGGAGTTTAGTTTCCAACCTCACAGAAGATCTTGAGCTTAACACCATTTATTCTAGAATACTTGATATTAGATGAAAGCAGTAAAGGTTAGAGGGCCTGGGCTCTAGTCTTAATTCCATTACTGCGTCACTGTGATTCAAGAAAATTACTTGGACTCTCTGAGCTCCCATTTCCCGATCAGTAAAGTGGAGACCATAGGACTTCCCTGTCCATGAGGGTATAGCTTGAAGGGGGTTTGCTTGCCAGAGAACTTGACTAGCTTACCTATTACATTCTTTCTGCGAGAGAAGCCCAGGCCCACATGATAGAGATGGGGAGCAGTCAATCCAGATTTATTGTGCTTTTCTTTTTGTGCTGGAACCCAGGTAGATGCTTCCTATGTAGGATTCTATTTAAGCCTCGCAGCTGTCCTGAGAACAGGCGTCCCCATTTTACAGGTAAGACAACTGAGGCTGGGAGTCAGAGCAGCCTGCCTCTGAGGTCTCACATGTAAAATGGACACCAGGACACCAGGACACCAACATCTGGCAGGGAAAGAGCAGCTGGGATTCAAACCCACCTTTCTTACACCAAATACAAGCTCTTTCCTGACTGTCATCCTGCTGCTGTCATTTCTAAAAATTAAATAATAATGAGAGTTAAGTTGGGGGACAGGTTCAGATTCTCAGACTCTTACAGCTCTGCAGATTCAGCAGAGTGTGTCGTGATAGTCTCAACAAGTTCTTTTGGAAATGTTTGATAAAATGTAAGTAGTAAAGACATAGAGCCTCTTTAGTAAAGTAGGGGAATATTATTAATTTTTCATTTTTTATCTTAGAGACAGAATCTTGCTATGTTGCCAGGCTGGACTCAAACTCCTGGGCTCAAACGATCCTCCCACCTCAGCCTCCTGAGTCGCTGGGGCTACAGGCCTGGCTGTTAATCAAAATTCTTGATACAAATTGTTATGTGAAAATATGGACAGAGTGAGTGACTAAAGAAACTCAGAAATATCCAGAAGCCAAGATGGATTTCTGTTTAGTAATTTGAATGTTCCCTGAATTGAGTAATCAAGGGGGAAATTGCTCTTTAAAAAAGTACTTGGCCATGTATGGCTTTTAATGAGATAATAATTCGGAACAGAATTAAAAGCTGTATGTTTGTCTGCAGACTTTTTAAGAGAACAGAAGGGCCATGGCTAGTATTGAAACAAGGATCAGATTTGTGACCTTGTGCCTCTTTCAGTGAAAGGTCTTTGACTGTCCACAGATAAGCATTATTTCAGCATTCACTTCACATTTTAACATGTCTTACATGTGAAAAGCTTACAAGCATTTTGATGTCTAAACTATAAATGCCCTTGGTTATAAAAGCAACCAGCATTGAAACCTTAAGGATATTAGGTGAGAAAATGTCAGATGATACTGCTCCAAATTGCCCTTGCTAGCAGTTCTACTAATTTAAATTCAGTTAAGATCCCAGGATTATGTTTTTTATGGCTACTAAAAGAAATGATTTTTGGCACCTGTAAGCTTCTTGGCTGTTTCTAAATGCTGCCAGAGCTAGGGGGATATTTGTTTTCTCTTTGTCAGGGTGTTTACATGCCCTGGCTTGGGCCATGAGTGAAAATGTATTTGACGATCTCCTGGTCTCACCCCAATCCCTAATGGATGTTTGTCTAAGTGACAGCACCCAGTTTAGCACTGTTAACACTCCAGTTAGTGGGTGGGAGAGTGTGGGCTGTATGTGACAGTTAGGGGCATGCATGGCAGGGTCAGGAACCTTCTATGAAGGAAACACTTCCTCCTCCAGGATCCAGTTCTGGAAGCACCTTTGTATTTTCTCTGTCTCCCATACTGACCTAATTTAGGAGTCGGATCATAAATATTCATTGAATCAGAGAATCTCACAACTTCATTATTATTCCCCTAAATATAGTGGTGGACTTTCTCTAAGGAGCCCAGATCTCCCAGCCTTGACAAGGACAAGCTTATGACAATTGGACATTGCCATCCAGGATCAGGATGGTGGGCTGTCATCTGGGGTCAGTTCATATGGTATTATGCAAAACGTCCCTTTGTAGGTTTGATCATGAGCTTGATTAACATAGCAAGCCTCTTTCCAGATACGTGGCTTCCGTAGGGTAGTTAGCTAAATGTACACGCATTTCTTTTTTGTTCACCATTGTCCCAAGCACTGTATGTGGATGTGTTGGACGCAGTGGGGCCTTTCAGGAAACAGCAGGACGATGCTAGGCAGAGCATGACAGGTCTTTAGAGAGACGTGCCTGCTCTAACCCAGGCCCACAAGCAGACAACCTGCCTGAAAGGGGGAGCTATGAATTGAGCGTTGACAGTGGGCCACGGCGGTCCGAAGGCTCAGGTGGTTGTCAGCCATAAGTTTAGCTCAGCTCTTTGAGTAATTTGTCACGCCTCGCTCAGCCCCTGCTGGGCCAGCACGTGCCAGCTTAGTGTCAGAGTGCCTGTTCGCCAGACGGCCACTCAGGCCTAACGTCCTGCTGTTCCCCGGACCAGCGGCTTGCTGGGGCCATGCACGGAGGGCCGAGCCGTGGCAACAGCCAAGTGCTGTGCAGAATAAGTGTGTTCATAATGAGACGTGAATGGCATTAGTGGGTCCCTCTAGAATTGGGCCTGAGCAGGCGCCTCTCGCTGAGGAAGTTTGGCAGCCTGTTCATTAAGGCGAGTCACCAGGAGTTCAGCCCACAGTTGAGAAGCCAGTTCAGGCTCATGCTGCCCAGGCCTTGGGTGGTTGTGCCCATCTATGTAAACGATCATATATCATTAGAGGGGCCACTTTGGAAATCTTCAAACTCATTTTCCTTGCTTGAGGTTGCATAGAACAAGCTTAGGGAGAAATTCTGGCAGCACACTCTCCAGTAATGCTTTCCACGGTGACAGGCATGTCCTGTATCTGTGCAATCCAGTATAGAACCCCTAGCCACGTGCGGCTATCGAGTGCTTAAAATACAGCAAATGAGGCAAAGCAACTGAATTTTAGCTTGTGATTTTAATTAATTCAAATTTAAAATGAGATAGCCATGTGTGGTGTGTGGCTACTGTATGGGATAGCACAACCGTAGAATGCCTCTGGTCTCCACATGGTATGAAAATATAACTCCAAATATAACTGAAGGAGTAGGGAAAGGAACAGCCTGCATTTAGAGATCAGTGTGCATACTTTGCCATAAGAAAGCCGAAAAGTATTTGCCCATTTAAAAACACTTGCTGTATTGAAAGCTGATTGGAAGGGCATAATTGTCACCAACCTCTGTTTTTAAAGAGGCCATTTGAAAAGATAGTTTTAAAATGTAGTGAGAAATGCTAGTTCCTTTTCCTCTTCTAGAGTTGGAAATAATAAACTGATGGTGATCCACATTCCCTGTGTTCCTGGAGAATTAGCATGATTTTCGAAATGACTGAAACATGTCTTTTAATTTTTGCATTGATAATGAGGAAGGGGAAAATGAGACGTCATGCGGACTTCCCCAAGTGTTAATTCGTAACGTCATATGTGCAGTGCCTCCCTCCATTGTCGGATTGTTCTGACGTTACCCCGTTATTGGAAGTGCATGATTCACCTTCTGAGGAAACAGAAGCCACACACAAAAGGGGAAGATTTGCTTTCTGCCCTGTGAAAGCCTGCCACACGCAGGGGTCCTATTAAGACAGCTGGAAAGTTGCTTCAGCGTGTTACGCTTGTAGGTTTTATTGGTGACTGGTTTTTGATTACACATTTGAATGCTGTGTGTTCCAGACTGCAGTTTTAATTAAAAGGCAGTAGTCTTTTTTTTAAATTGCACTGTGCACTCTTGCTAGATTCTGTCACATAGTAGTTCTTATTTTACAGTGTTCACAGCTTGTCTTGGTTAGAGGCTCTGATGCCCCCTCAGAGTGTATCTTCCTAGCCTTCTCTTTTCCCAGTAACTTACATCTTCTTATTTCTAAGAAGTGTCTGCACTCTCATATCACCAAGTTGCTTGAAGTGTCAACTCACATCAGTAGGCTAAGAATGTATTGTCCATTGAAATAGGACGTAAAAGATCCCTTATTTGTCAGGGGAAAGAGATGTCACTGCAATCAGTGTCTCCTGTTTTTGTTTAATTCAACCCTAGTGATCTTACGATGTTATTCTGCAACTACTGGCTTACGTGATTTTTAGTGATACTAGTATCAAATGCAGTTAAAGTCTAAGAGAAACTTAGGTCTCAAGACCAGAATTTTATTAATCATGACCAATATTTACTTTTCTGCAAGATGATAAAGAACCTGCAAGATACTTTTTTTTTTTTAACGCAGAAAAGTAAAAATTGCACAACGGTAGTAAAAGTGAATTCTATCACTGCTCTGCATTGCCACCTTGCCTTCGTGCTTGTTTCCTTAACTGATTACCGCAGCTATGAAGAGCGAGCTCTGTATCTCGAAGCAATAATTCAGAACCATCGCGAAGTAATGACATTCGAGGATTTCGCAGCCCAAGTCTTTTCTCCCTCTCCCAGCTACTCCCTCAGCGGAACGGGTGAGTGTCTACATTATTCTTCTCTCACACGCTTAAGATGCATTCGAGCAGCAGATGTACACCTGTTTTTCACAGATAAATGCTTGCAAATTTAAGAAGAGCATTCTCCCTCTGAATCAACTAATGAATATCAAAAGGAATGATGACATTCATTTTAATTTGTTTTGTATTCGAGCTGTTCACTCAGTTCCTTTCTTCAGCTATCCTGTTAACCTTCGAATCTAGCAAGGTTAATGAACTTTTTCTCAGTAATGTGCTCCGGTTCATTCAGGAGTGTGGGTTTCTTGCTGAGCTGGGAATATGTTGTTTAAAAGCGATGCCCGAATCAGTGCTTACTTATCAAAAAAGAGTTCCTCACAGTGGAAGCCGTTGCTACTAATGCTAAATGGGGATTACGCTGCCGAGATATGAGGGTCAGGGATTAATGCAGGAGACATGGAAGGACAGTGTCCTGGGGTCCATCATTACAGCAGTGCAGTGTGCATGTGTCTCTCTGGAGTGGTCTGTGTCATGTGGACAAGCCGCCGACTGGAGCAGCACCTGGTGTGGAACCCGTTTAGAAACTAGCTTACAATAATTTTTATTTATTAGGGCCAGTGGAAAATTGCAAAAGTTTCCATGGATTTTCTTGTTTTTAGGTTTTTGTTCTTTTTGTATTTTCAGTTTGGGGGGAAAAAATACATGTATTGCCACTTAAACAGATTATATGATTACTGTGGATTTTTTCAAATAATAGAATTATTACTTGTAAATTTCTGCATATAATTACAAAATAATTGCCTTTCAGAGAGCAAATGGGATATTTAGCCAATGCACGTTGAAATTCTCAGTGAGGAGCTTCCTTCATCTTCCACTGCTTTAGATGCAACTGTTAAAGTGCTTAATAGATTTCTAACCTGCGTCAATTGTCTCTGAACACTGCCTTACTTCTCCTATTCTGACTTGTTAACAAATATCTTACACACAAAGTGAAAAAAAATTAAATCCAGTGAAATAAATCACTTACAAATAAAATCAGCCATGCATCATTGTTTAACATCGCTGGCCTCAATCCTTGCCTCTCGGAGCTTTGTTGGGAGATAAGAGGGAGAGGCATGCACTTGCACAGGGAGCCAGGAGCAGCAGGCAGAAGGCCTGGGAGATAAGCAGGCTGGCAGAGGTGCGGGAGCCGCACGATTTGCATAATCACGCCTCTGCTTCCTGGTGAGGCGTCAAGGAACACTGGGATGGCCTCTATTGATCTTTGTCGAACTGGAATACTAAGCAACATGAGAAAAGCTTATAACTTAAAGCTTTGATTAATGTTTCTTACATTTAAAAAGTGGAACAGCTGTGAATTGAATTCTTTTATACACTCTGCCAACATTCTAAGACAAAAAAAAATCCGTTTCAAGGGAAATGAAGATTTCGTACTCAGCCTGCTTAGAGATTTTAAATCATTTCTAATTTTTTCAGTGAAAGAACATGAGGGATCTGTAGCAAAGCTAATTTTAAAAAGATCTCATTCAGCTTTTTCCCACCCTCATGAGATTATTCCCATCTTCATAAAGACTTGATTTTTCAGTGCCAGTTGGTTTTTTTTTCTTTTAGCTCTTGAGAAAGCTTTTTATTTCTTAAAATTAAAAAAGTAAATAATAACTAGATGTTTACATTCCTTAACTCAACTGTTGCATTCTTAACATTATTAAGATGTTATCAAAATGAATTATGATGGACTTTTTTTCTATCTATATTTTAGCCTCTGTGTAAACTGATTTGATCTTTTTCAAAAGTCCATAATTACTTAAACCAAGTGAGATGAGTCGAGTGAGATTCTAGGAGCAATTTGAATTTTTAAGAACTCTACCTAAAGAGGATTGTTGAAAGTCTTTTTCAGGAAAGTCATATTTTTGAAAATCACTTAGCAGAGTAAAGACTCTGACAGCATGTGAGGGTGGGCATTGGAACTTTTATAAAAGGAACATGAAACCAAACATGGAATATCAAGACAAGTGCTACTGCCTCTGCTTTTCAAATCATTAACATCAGTATTACATTTCATAATGTTCATGGTTTAAGATATTCAGTGTTGAGCGGCAAATATTTTAGACATCTATCATACTTATCTTTAAGTGTGATTTTTAAGTCTGGGCATAATGTTGTGTTTTAATTCTTTGCATATCACCTCATAACGCTGAGTAGGAAGGAACTAGATATAAACTAGATTTGAACTGAAACGTGGGCAGTGCAGTGAGGACGGAGCATTTCAGCGCCATAGACAAGCACGTTTTCAGAAGCATCTTCTCATTTACATACTGGCTTCGCTTTTGAGGAATCCCTGTCCCCTATCTGTTACTACTTCTAAAGATGAAAACATTTTTCATTTGTTTACACTGTTACGTTCTTGGGGCGAGTACAGTCAAACCCAGATGCGCCAGCCAGCTTATACTAAGAAATTGAGGTGAAGTCTGTTCTTCCAAGCAACAAGCCAACTGGAAAAATTGACCCTGAGCGGCTTAAGCTCCCACAGTGCACTTAGGACCCAATCAGACCTCATCTCTGGCCCTCAGTGTCATCAAAGCAGGGCCTTGGGCTTGGGCTCACATGCATATGCACAATCTGAGGAATTAGGAGCTCCTAGGTTTTCTTTGTATCCTCACCACAAGGGGCTTTATTATTAATGAAGAGGGAGCGTCACCTGAACACTGCATTCATTCCACACTGGATTGGTAGCAGCAAGCTAGAAAGCAGCATGTAGCCCCCACTTCTAGAGGGAAAGCCTTTAAGTCTGAGGTAAAAGTGGGAGTGGCCTGTGCCTGAAGGTTCCACTGTGGGAAAATGCCCTTTGCCTCTGACTCTCCGGCTCAGATGCTGTTACCCATCCACCCAAGGAGCCCTGGAGGGCAGTTTGGCCAGGTAAACAGGCTTCCATTCAGGATGCACCCTCAACCACACTTGGTGGTGTAGCAGCTAATATATGAGTGCTCAGCTTTTTTCAAAGAGCTTTCAAAACAAAATCTATTTTTCTAATCAGAAAATATTTTTTAAAACCGTCGTCTACCTTGTATCTATTCCATCTGTTGCTTGTCTTGATAACACCTGACATGTAATAAGTATTTCAACTACTTTTTTACTTAGCCCTATAGTTTACCTTCCTTTTTTGACCAGAAATAAATAATCTAAATAATCTAAAAGGTAGCCAGTATCAAAATATTGGTTGCAATTAACATATATGTTTCCTGCATAAATGCATTTATATACACATATATGCACGTATACATTTCTCTCTCACACACACCCATATTGGGGTGGGAGACAAAATTTGTGTTTTCAATCATATCCTCAAGAAAGAGGGACCAGCAGAGAGGCCGGGAAAGGGTTAACTGGAATGGGCAGCCTCCACTGCTGGGAGGGACTGATGTAATCACTGCAGCTCACAGCCAAGTGCATCTGTTCACCATGAGGTCATTCTTCTGCATGCTAATGATTCGGAAAATCAAGTCTAGCGTTTGACACTATCGAAAAAGATATAAATAGTGTGAATCTTTACTTTTTAGAAGTTGCTCTTATAAAAGAGAAAAAAAGAAACTTTACATTGGGCCTGAGATTTTTTTTTTTTCAGAACTGCCTTAAAGATTGTGTCTGGGTCTTAAAATCTTGGCGGAATCCACTTGTGTCTGTTGATAAATCAATCCCCAAATCACTATTACAGTCACAGCTAGCAATCTGGTAGCCAAGGGCTACAGGTATGTCTCATTTAATATCTAATTTTAAGAATTTCCAAGTGCCTTGGTCAGAAGTTGATAAAGATGGATTTTTCCCAAAGAATGTTCAAAACCAAGTTAAATGAGTGGTTCTTCTCAAAATACCCAAACTGACTGGTGTTTGCTGAAGATGCCAACAGGATGTATGATTCCTTTCTCCTTCAATATTGCTATAGAGAGCCAGCAGAGGGAGCACAGATCTTTGTGTATTTGTTAGCCCTGCATAAACATAGCATTTGATTTCTCCAAGATATGGTCAGAATACTTCCTCCTTTATGATAGACTGGATTGTAAAGGCTCCAGGATTTAGAACAAGTGGGAGAAAATTCCTCACTATGCTTCACCAGAGCCTGCCACTTTCAATGTAGGTCGTATTTGGAGCTTAAACCAGATTAGTCTGAGTCGATCTTAGGATGCCACTGCCATTCCTGCTATTGCACAAAACAGCAAACTTTCATCTTTCACACAATTGCATGGACGCCCTCGTGGAAAGGCTTATTATGCCACTTACCTAATGAAAAATACTTCTGTAGTTTTTCTTCTACAACATAGTCATTGTGTTAAGTTTGCAGAACCTTTACCAGAAGACTCTGCCTGGTGTCACTGAGTCATTTTGGTGGCCAATAAAATCTTCTCCTAAAACTGCAGATGGAGGTGCTTATGTTACACATTCACCCCAAAGCAAATCTGCGATGTAGACACTACATAAACTCCTCTTAGAACTCACTAGCTTTTCCCCAAAGGGGTGTGGCTGCAGCCAGCTTCTGCTTGCTAAGACCTCCACACCATATGCAGGCTTGTCATTCTGCATGCAATCCTGACAGGTCATCTTCCTTGGCTCTTTCACCAGGCAGTTAATAATCAAGTTAACTCCTAGAAACAACACAAGTAAATCCTACCCTAAACCCCCAAAAAGAGTTTCCCCGCTCATTGAAAGCGTAGTCATGTGACAGATTCATTCGTATTCTTTCTCTCCCTGTTAAAGTGGTCTTAATACGGTTTTAATTAATAGCACTTCTTTTGAGTTGCATGTGTTCAGCTTCCCCATAACTTTGCTGAAGCCAACAAAGGACATCATAGAATGCTGAACTAGAAGGGACTTCAGAAAAGGTCATGTCTAACCCCATCATATTAATTTTGAGCAAGCTGAAGACCAACCCATGAAGGGACCACCAAAGGTCATGGGCAAGTTGGAATCAGGGCTAACCCAGCCTTCACCTCCCCATTCCACATGGAAATGCCAGCCCTGTGCCCACC